ACGCGCAGCCTGCCGTCTTCTTCGTCCATCAGGTACCACTTCTGATCCCGGGCGTCCAGGACGCACAAGCCGAACACTTTCACCACCTCATTCTTACGGAGCTGCTTGATGCTGAGGGAGACTGTCCCTGAGGTGTTTTCGTCGTTTACCTTCATGGGTCCCCTAACATCAATATCATTCTGATCTTTGGGACAAGTCCTGTTTAACCATTTATCTGAGAAATCAGCATCTTCTTTATCACTGGCGAACAGTTTACCGAACCCGATGATATCCGAGCTGTTGGGGAACAAGTGGAGCCCGTAGACCCTTAAGGAGATATCGCTCCCCTCGGTCACCTGAATATCTCCCCCTTCGGTGGTCTCGGCTGGCTTGTCGCTCTTCTCTAGCCTCATGCCGAGTATCCGCGTGGTTTCCCTCGAGTCTGAAACCGAAGCTTCAACCAGCCTCGTCGCAAAAACGTATGAAAACACGAATAAAGTTAACGTAAACCCCCAGCCACTTGAATCCATCGCCATGTTTGTTTCGCTCTCTGCCAACAAGCGAACTGACGTCACCTACTCGTTTCCACAAGCCCGCCTCCAAATTTACATATAAATATCACCCAATCGGCAGCGTATACGTCACTAAAACTTGGGCCGAGCCCCAACAGTTTCATTTTTTTAAGGTCGACTGACAAAATTTCTTTTAAAGGTGGACCGTGTGGGAGCAGACGAAAATTAACGCATGAAAGATAAACATTCACAATAAACAAAGTTTAAATACAAAAGACATAAAATAATCAGATTTTATGATATTTTCCCACAACGATTTTATATATATAAACGTATTTATTGTGAAAAAGATAAACAGTGTTACTAAGTAATTAACGTGGTCTTTAACTTCATTTTTATTGAAGAAAATACCAGTTAAGTTGTATATTTAGCTACTCTATGGCACAGAAAAGTATCATAAAAGTATTAACTGTCTTAATTGTGTTTAACCGTGTGACACGTCGAATTAAAATACAAATGCTGAAGCAGTATCAGAATAAGTCGAATACAGAGAAATGTGTTTAAAGTCAATGATTTAGTCTACAGAACCTTTGTAATCTCAGTATGCACAATGTGACAGTTAATGATATCAGTAGTGTCACTGATTTGAAATACAATGCATGTTAATGTTATCTACTGTCTCTAGTAATGCTATTAACACTCCTCTGTGTGCTGTGAGCTGTGCAAACTGAATATTTGAGGCAAGAAGAAAAACTTTGGGTCACAAGTGAATAGAATGCCAAACTAGACACACTCACCGGTG